TCTCCATCGTCGAGGAATCGACACCAAAGAAACTGAGAATGGCTAATTTGGCTATTGTGTTGTCACACACGGTCAACGGTGTTGCAGCAATCCATTCACAAATTTTGAAGGACTCGTTGTTCAACCATTTCTACACGTTGTGGCCAAACAAATTCATCAACGTGACTAACGGTGTTACACCACGTAGATGGATCAAGCAATGCAATCCAGAGCTCTCCAAGTTGATCACTGAGTCGATTAAAACAGACGAGTGGGTCTGCGACTTGAGCTTGGTCAAAGGAATCGAAAACGTCTTCTCCCACGACTTGATTGAGAAATTCATCCACGTGAAACAATATAACAAAGACAGATTGAAACACTTGGTCCTTACTTTGACCGACTCTAAAGTCGTGTTGGACCGTAATGCACTCTTCGACGTCATGTGTAAGAGAATTCATGAGTACAAGAGACAACTCCTTAACTTGTTTGGTACCATCCACATGTATCTCAGAATCAAAAAGATGACTCCAATCCAAAGACTCGAGCTTGTCCCAAGAGTAAAGATCTTTGCTGGTAAAGCCGCTATTGGCTATGCGATGGCCAAGGGAATCATCAAGTTGATTAACTCTGTTGCTGATGTAGTGAACAACGACCCAGATGTCGGAAACTTACTCAAAGTCGTGTTCTTGCCAAATTACAGTGTCTCGTTGGCTGAAATTATTGTGCCAGCCAATGATATTAACGAACAAATTTCTACTGCGGGATATGAGGCTTCTGGAACCTCATGCATGAAATTTGTAATGAACGGTGGGTTGATTGTAGGTACTTGGGACGGAGCCAACGTCGAAATTGCTGAAGAAGTTGGAGCAGAGAATATGTTCATGTTCGGAGCTAAGGCCCACGAGGTTGCTGACATTAGAGCAAACCCAACTCCAATTTCCCCAAAACTTGCTCAGGTGTTGTCGGCGATTGACTCTGGTATGTTTGGAAGCCCAGACGTACACAAGTTTGTGATTGACCAATTCAGATCCGGAAGCGACTTCTACTTGGTCTGCAGAGACTTTGAAAGCTACGTCGCAATCCAAAACCATATCGATTCTGTCTGGAATAACCCCGAGGAGTGGAACACAATGTGCCTGAGATGCATTGCTAGAATGGGTAAGTTCTCGTCAGACAGATCTATTGAAGAGTACGCAACGAACATCTGGAACGTCACTAAGTGCCCAGTACCATCTGGTGAGCAGAACTAATTGACTTTTGAGGAAATTGCGGTGTTCAACTTAGTACTATACTTTATAATATATTATATTATAAATAAATTATAATTCATTTGTAATGAAAGTAATTGTTGTATTGTTAATAAATGGTATATTTAACTATAATGTATAGTATTGAAAAAGAAAGAGAAAAAACAAAAAAACTTGAAAGAAGAGTTGTGGTGATGCAAAACTACATGACACCATTTGTGGAGGACGCCATTGCCGCATACATCAATTTGTCGGACGACCCGAACGTCCAAAACGTCCAGGAGTTGAAAGTTGTCGATGCGGAGAGACTTGTACTTAAAGACAAAACAATTGACGAAGTTGCTGACGGCCAATATCTCCAACTTATGAGACAAATTGCGGCACTTTACCCCGATAAAGACGCAATGAAAAAGAAATTTGACACGTTTTGTAAACTTCAATCGAACACAGGCATGTCGGAAGAACAGAAACAGTTTGACACGACGTATCGAATGGTTAACAACGCGTTAACCAATATATGTTTGTCGGGAGAGACGTGTATGGCAATTCTCAACGGAATCACAGACGAACCACCAAAGTACAAAATAACAAGCGACGAAACAATGCAACGGTATCAGGCACTTCCAACGGATTTGAAGATTATTAAATATCAACAAATATTCCGAAGCGGCGCTGATTGTGTTGTTGTGAAGTCGTTGGACCGGTTGAGGGTGTGTAGAGAGGAGTTTTTAAGTGTTTTCAACGAACTGAAACTCCTTTCCACAAGTTGGAAATTGTCGAAAGAACAAGGCGTTTTCAGGGTTGGGATGTTCGAGGGGATCAACACGAAAAACATCCCGCTTGTGTATTCCGAGCAGTTCCATGGGATGATTGTTAAAGTACCCAAAAAAAGCTATGGGTACTTGGAAGTGAAGGAAATGACCATCGACGAATTTGAAGAGAAAATGAAAAACACGACGGAAACCCCAATCGTGAAGTACACAACGCCATACACAAACACACACTTCAACATCCACTTATGTCGAAACAATGTGTTGACACAAACATTGTTCGATTACTTGATGCTGACTGACCCAAACGATGTGTTGGATAAGACGAATACATCAATCGGAATTTTGGTTTCTGGTTACGACCCAATTGTGATCAACGCGAAACTTCAGCCAATCCAATACACACTCAGTGTGAAAGACTGTGATACATCCTTCGACCACTTCACACTCTTCGAAAGGCAGTCAATTGTAGAGATTCTCTTGATGCAGCAGATCATCGCACAACAAGTTCGAGAACTTGTTGACGAGAAGAAAAAGGAAGATAAAAAAGCTGTTTTGAAGACCGTCTTTGACTTCGTTGTGATGAAGAAGAAGCGACGTGCAGTCAACAAAGCTTTACGAGACAACGCAGTGAAATACATGAGCGAGATGAGAAACCAGATTGTAATGGTCAAGTGGTTAACACGAGACCAACCCATAGGAACTGCTGTCTTCAACATCATTGTTTACGACAAGTTTGTTATTACCTTTCTTATGAAGCACAAAGTATAGAGACGATGGCAGTAATAATGTTTAGAGAGATGTACAGAAAGAGCCCAGAGTGCGACTTTATCAAGAAGTTTGAAGGCAAAATTGTTGGATCCAAGGTTGAGTTTGACGGTCACGACCTCGAGTACTTAGTGAGTGAAGAAGTTGGGACGATCATATTCCGATTGATGATGAAACAGAAGTGATTTTTTATTCTTTATCAGTCCTTTCTTTCCACCAAACAATCACATTGAAAAACAAATTCCGTTTCAATGATTTCTTTATAGTACTCCAACTAGTTTTATAAAAATGAGTGAATTGTGAAAAGAATATTTTTTATATAAAAGAACTTCAAAAAGTCAATAATTGAGACATGATTCACTCAAACTCGTTGAGTGCTGCGATGAAACCAACGCCGAAAGACAAAAAAAGAGAAGAAATTCTTCACAGAGATCAATTGAGAAATTTAATAAAGAGTGTTGACAAGAGATATGAACTCGACAAAACGTCAATCCAACCGGCGTTGAAAGATGTTGTGGAAGACTTTTTAGAGACAAGCCTCTGCGACTTACTTGACATCTCAAAGTTCAGGCAAGAGGAAAAAATCAGTACAAAGGATGCCGTGTTTTACTACAAGAAGTTCTGGGACTTCGACATCGGAACAAAGTATCCTTTGTCGAAAAGATCTAACAATTTCATCGATCTGAAGTACCAATCCAGGCGGATGTTTATTCAAAATATCAATTCATTCAAGCAGTGCGCCCACGCTAACTTCGGCGAAAAAGGCGCAGATAACACTCCACCAAATGACAAATTGATTTGATTGTTTTGTAGTTCATGAAACCATTCTTTTAATATACTTGATATACTATAATTATAGTAGTATTAACTATATTTTACTAGTTGACCAACACTCATCAAAAAAGTGAAAACAAGTGATTAGTTCAATTATAATATATAATACTATGAATTAATAATACTAATAGAGTAGATAAAACAATTATAATAAAATAGTATTTGAGTTGATAAGAAAAAGTCGTCCAAAAAAAGAGGAGAACTCAAAAAGAAAGAAAGAGAACGTTTGTTATCTTATTAACTCTTAAATTGTAATTCGTCACCATTCAAAGCCTTTAACAAAAAAGATGAGCCGTCGTGTATACCCACCACTGAATACTCAACCTCAAATGCCTAATGTCCAACAAGGCCCTGTTGGCTTGACTCAACCATCGATGCCAAATGTTCCTCAGTATCAACAACAAGTGGGAGGACCTATTGGGATGCCTACCATCCAACAAAACGTCCCTCAAAATGTTCCACAACAAATCCCACAATATCAACAGCCAGTCTATCAACAACCGCCTCAACAAACACTTCCTCAAAGTGTGCCACAACAACAATACCCACAAGGAAATACTTTGCCCCTACAACAAAACATCGTCGGAACTCAACAACAACAACAACCGGCACAAGCACAGACACAAGAAAATAAAAACGTCGAACAAAACAGTATGCCCGCACCAACGTTAATCAGTTCAGTACCAACGAGTTATAATATGATCTCCCCACCTCCGTCAAATCTCCAACCGTTCACTGCTGCAGTCGACAACAAAAGTTCACCAAAGAATATCCGTCTGTCCGTATTTACCCCATCGTCGAAAGTGGGTCTCCAAAAGCAACTGAGCATCCCACTGAGCTGCGAGATCACTCCATTTGCGAAAATGTTTCCCGGCGAGAAACTCGACTCGATTAAGGCGGATCCAAAGAACATTAAAAGGTGCCCGAGATGTGGGGGGTATGTCAATCCCTTCTGTGCATTTGAAGAAGGGGGAAAGAAGATGAAGTGTTGTTTGTGT